ATCTGTTGGAGTTGCTCTTTTTTTTACATCTTCGTTTTTGACCATATGTTGGAGTTGAGCCTTTTTGGAGATGTACAAAATACTTTTTGGTGCTCCAAATTTCGACCATCACCGGTTTTGACCACCAAAATTTAGACCATCTATTGGAGATGCTCTTATAAATAAAAATAAAACACATTTTATCATCTCTCCCACCCGCCAAACTAAATATTCCATCATTTATAAAATATAAGGGATATTAGTTTTTTAGAAAGTCGACTTTTTTTTAACTTTGACCATGTTCAGAGCAAAAAATATTGACATCCACCACATTAAACAAAAAAAGTATGGAAATTCATTTCGTGATAAATCTAAAAGTACCGATTTGATATTATGGATTTTGATCTATTTCTCTACAAATTTGATCAAACTTAAAAGGTTTGAATTTTCAAAAAAAATAGTACACCTTATATTTTGAAGTAGAGTGATTTTTTTTTAAAAAAAACCCAACAATACGAACGGCGCAACAAAGCCCGCACAACCTTTCTAGTGCCGGATGAAACACGCGAGACCGCATCGCCGGAAGATATGGTTGCTGCTGCGCGTCACCATCGCTAAACTAGGTGAGCTACCTCTCTGTTGGTATTAACCTAAAACAAGTGTACAAGATTTTGGATGGACCGTGACAACTGGGCAAATAAAAATAACACAGTAGATAGCGGAGAAGAGTGCCTGGCGTTCTAGACGAGTGGCAGGTCTTCATTGCGCTACCCTCGCGGGGCCCACCGGGCAGTGAGGTGGCGGAAATCGCTGAGGCGCATAAAAAATGGTCAGAGGTGGATCCACGTCACCTGGGAGCGGGATCAGTGGACGTGAGCCGTGCTCCCGCTGCAACTATTTTAGGATCATACCACTATCTGAAATGGAGAGGCGCCACTTGCAGGATTTGTCTCATGCCCGATTAACATCAGCCTCAAGATATTTCCACCCACTCAGCAATCTTTTCTTCTCCCCCTCTCTGTCTTTTCAGACCACTGGCATTTACTTCCTCAGTTTCAAAATTATTGTCTTACATTTGTCTAGATACGGATGAATCTAATATTAAAATGTGACTTGATACATTCGTATTTAGACAAATCTAAGACAAGAATTTTGAGACCGAGGAAGTACTGTATTTGGTTAAGCCAGTCTGGTAAGCGGTAGGGTACTTGGTAATTAGCCGGATAATGGTACTACAAGGAACCATGCATGTGGCACAACGCACTTGATCTGTGGCTCTCGTTAACTTGGATTTTATATAGTGCTGCTGGTTAAGACTGGGAGACCATTGCGCCTTTTGTGGCGGAGGTCCCTCCTCTCCCCTTCCCTCCACCGAGACGTGCATCAGATTTTCGACCAAGAAACACAAAACACAAAACTGTCATCCTTGTTAATCTAACCTGAGCTCAACTCATCTTGTTCAGTGGCAGATGAATATAACAAACACAAAACTAGGAAGAGTGGCTGGCGTGATGCGATCTTCTTCGTTGCGCTTTCCCGTGGGGCCCACTAGGGGGCTGATGTGGCGGGAAGCATCGAGGTTGTTCCAAGTGGTTCACTCTGCGTCTCTGGTTTAAGATATTTGCCACCATATTATTTTTCCTGTTTATTTGCTTCGCTTTCCGGACCACTTGTGCAATGATTAACCAGGCCAAGCATAAGAGGCCTAAACATTAAACATTACAGAAATTACAAGGAGGTCCCCGGACAGAGGTTCCGCCGTCTTTATTCTTCACCGCAAAGACACGGAGACGAGGAGAATGCAAATGCGAGGGAGTCTCGGCAAAGTTGGCTTTGGAACCCAAAACTACTGCTACATGTACGATTCCTCTTGTCCGATTTTCATACGACATGGAATCCAGCGAAGTGCTACAATATTACGACATCGTTCTTTGGAATCCCATTGCCCGGGGCCTCCTGAGCTAGTTCATCTTATCCGTTCCTAGTCATGCAAACATTAACAAACGAGAGACCCTCATGGGAGGGATATGATTGATTATCAATCACACCCTCGGTTGATACCTTTCAATTCTCCACTGATTGATCGGCATCTAGATTTCTTTCTGTAGTGCAGTTTTTGATCCCAAACCAGCATTTTCTGTTTATCCATTTCCGCGACAAGTGATTCTGTATGGTGGGAGTACATTTCTCTCCAAAAATTCATCGTTTCTTGTTCACTTATTTTTCATAGTACAGACTGATCACCTGCTCTTAGCTCATAATACCTCAAACTTAAGAGCATGACAGTGCATCCAAGAACCCGAGGAATCTCCCGTGTCAACACGCGATATTTATTTTCCATCTTTTAGCAAAAAAGAAATTTATTTTCCATCTGCCCGTATTTGTTTAGTAGCACTACTAAAAGTAAATATTTTATGCTAAAAAAGGCTAAAAATTTAACTAGCGGAAACAAATTCGCCCCACATTTCCGAGTTGTGATTTTTAATGGCACAAAGTATTTTATTTTCTTAGCAAAAAGTAGCAAAGCCAACATCATGTCCAAATCAGTCCTCCACCACTCCTTAATCCACTTTTTTAATTAGTGATTACTACCGTGCTACTAACAAGGACCCTGACACGTGGGTCCCAGAAACATGTGGCCAGGGATTTCCCCGGCAGCTGACCGGAGAGAAAAAGCGCGGTGGGCCCGGCCTCACCAGCAGATATTAGCTGTCCGCCAAAGGTTCGGCCGGATGGGGGCGTGACGTGGCCGGCGCAAAAGCGCAGGGAGCAAAACAGATCTTGTGGCTGGGAGCGTGCTTGCCCTTTGCATCACGGTTGGGTCACGCCGCACCAACAAAGATGGATGGATGGTATCCCCACCTGCACCCCCATTCAGAAATAACCTTATCATGTCAGCTGGCCGTTTAGTACAGGCAGCAGCTTGGTGTGTCAAGATTAGGAAAAAAAAGATTAGTAGTATAACCTACCGTTGCATCAAGCAGAGCTCGTGTTTCCCCTCAACAACAGCAGCAAAGGGGCAGTGATTTCATCTTCATTTCACCGCACTAGCAACAATTTTGTGGCTGCAATTGTTGCGGGGGGTTTTCTCCCCTTTCCGGGAAACCCACTTAATAGTTTGATGCGCAATTGTTCCGCGTGATATATGGTCAATGCAAGGAATAGTCGTGCCTGCTTTTCAATTGAGTTGATTTGTGCTTCTTTTTCGTGGGTGTAGGGTGCCGAGTGTCCATTCAAACTCACGGAGTCTCCCAAACACAAGGAGGCGACAAAAACCGTGTCGAACCTTCTCGTCACCACGCGACCAAAAATATGTGACATCATAACACATATATAAAATGGACACTAAAATGTCTGAATATATGTGATAGAGAAAAGGAGAGAAACCTAGATTCAGACAAGCCGAGATATGGAAAGGCCACTTGCACGCCATGTTTTTAGAGTTGCGCTTATTCCAAAATTTACACTCGTCGGCACGATTTATCCGACATGCCAATTCGACGACGTAATAAATTTACACTCGTCGGCACGATTTATCCAACTGGCCGATTCGACGATGTCGAGCCAGACGTATTGTGGGTTGGAGTCGCTCTTAAATATGTTCAGATGCTTCCCTTTCTTTTCCAAAAAAAAAACTCATGATATGTATGGGTTATTTTGGAACTAGAGGAAACATGACAAGCACATTACTAATTGTTCGCAAAAATGATTCCTTTTGTGTGGAGCGCACGGTTCCTATCCAAGACGTACGAAGTCTCTCGAATAAGATCATGAAATTATCAAGTTAAAATGAGAAGAGATTCTTTCACTAGCCACACACTGTGAGGGCTAGAAATGTAACATCACCACTCATATCTCCTCAACAATTATATTCAGAGAAATACGTGTCAAAAACTATGTGGCCAAGACGAGAGGAGCCAATGTTAGACAAGCCGAGAAAGGGAAAGCCCACTCATGCCATGATGACATAATTGGCCTCATCTAAAATTCACCAACGTTGCTACAATTTATCCTAGAAATATCTCCAGAGGTTTGCTCCTGGCCTCTCATGTTCGAATGGCTCTAGATATCCATGGTTCTCCTTCGCCTCGCCCCCCTCCGTCTTCTCCACTTGGGCAAAAACGCCGAGACCCCCATGCGTTGTCACGTGGATCATTCCGTGTACCACGGTAACAGCCTGTAATGCAACAATAATGTCCCATCAAACAAATCATGTACGAGACAATAAAACCATGAGAAACTTCGGTACCGTATTCCAAACCGTCGTATAAATCACGTCAGGATGATCAGACAGAAAAAACCGCACTCAAACCGTATCGCATAATCATTTGAAGTTTATGGCCAAAGAAAGTTACTGGTATTAAAATACACTTTTTTTTGGAGCTAGTAAGAAAATACACTTGTATATACACTTGGACACGTAGGCCGGGGAGAGCAGATAAGGGAGAAAAGCGCGCCCAATGGGAGGAAAGCAGCGAATGGGAGAGCCGGAAAAGGAAAGGGCGCGTGGGTCGCTGCGGGCGGGCCCGGGGAGGCCGGGGCGTCCACAGCCACGAGCTGGTCGGCGCTTCTGGAAATTTCGGGGCTCCGACAGGCGGGCCCCGCGCGTGACGTGGCCGGCCTCCCCGCCCCTCCTCCGGAAAATATATTTCCGCCGCTCCTCCACCCCACCTTCCTCCTCCTCCTCCGCCTCCGCTTCCTCCTCCGCGCTCCCTCCGCCTCCCTCGGCAGCACGTGCGCGCCCCGGCGGCCAGGCCCCTTTTAGCCGCGCCGCTCGCCGGAGCACCCCCGCTCGTTTCGCCTCTTTTTCTCTGGGTCGGTTTCTTTGGGTCGCGGTGCTTCGCCGGCCGGCTCCGGTCGTCGCCGAGGAGGGTGTTTTTTTGGCAGCTTCCTGGCCGATCCCGTCGTGAGCCGCTGCTTCCGTCCCCGCCTTCGCCGTCTGCCGGCGGTGGTGCCTGCCGCGTGCTTCGTTCGATCTCGGTGACGGGGAGGCCGAGATTCGGAACTCCGGGGAACGGCTCATGGCGTCCATGGCGCTCGCCGAGGTAAAGATCCATTTTTTCTGCTCGGTCCGCGCATTCGCTGGCCGTTCTCGCCTGCTGCGAATCTTCACTTGCGCAGTAAAAACATTTGTTTTTTTGGAGGGATTTACCTCGCAGATTTCTGTTCTTCACGGCTTCTCCGATAGATAATTTGCCAAATGGAGTTTTTATTTATTTATTTATTTCTGCAATTATTACCAGTAGCACCTCGTCTTTCAACTTTTTTGGGAGGGATTTTTATCCATTTCTCTAAATGGCCTGTTTCTAGATACTTCTGTTTTGGGAGGGCACATACCACACCACCGGAACATCTTTAGAGGCTTCGAGAACTAGAGATGGGGAGGACACTACTTCCGTATTTCATATTTTAGGTAGAGCCACCTACCAAGCATGCCAGGAAGCCACAGAAACAAATCCAGAAACAATGGATGGCGCTTTCCATCCTAGGTAAAATTCTGTTTAGCGCTGCACTTTTACAGTGTTGACTGTAAAATTACTGCTAGTAGTTACAGTGTTCATTTAATTCATGAATGGTTGGTTGAGGACCAATCAGCATAGCTCACTTTTGTTACTAGCAGCAGTGGTTGATACTGTAGTAGATTTTTACCAGTACTCCAGTAGCAATTCTGAATGCTGATCCTGTTTAATCAGAAGCATAAGTAACTTTTGCTCAAATTATGCTGCAATGTTCAGTTACCCCCTGCGGTGAGATTTGCCATTATTTTGACTTGCTGAATAATTACTGCTGGTCTGTGGAACTGTTTGCAGCCATGGTCAGCAATGTGTTTTGGGCTGGCTGTAGTACTGATATTGTTTCTTCTGTTCTTGCCTCCAGGAAAGGGATGCCTTGGATTCCTCTAGGTTGCGTATCAGCCAAGGGCTATCGGTGGATGTCGCAATGCAGCCCAATGAGGAGGGAATGGGTGAGCATCCTGTCAAGGTACCCATTTCTTACTCAAGTTTTGAGATCTAAGAGCAAATGCAAGTTTGTCCCATCGGCATATCATATATCATCGCCATGATGCCTAATGACATTTTTCTTGCTTTGATTAGCCTAGGAAGCCATACACGATCACGAAGCAGAGGGAGAAGTGGACGGAGGAAGAGCATGAGAAGTTCCTGGAGGCGCTGAAGCTGTATGGCCGGTCCTGGCGTCAGATACAAGGTGTGTGCAGCCTTATATGTATAACGCATCTATTATCAGAATTTAAAGTAGTTGAAATGGTGATTCTGATTCATCGGAACTGTTCTTTAGAACACATTGGCACAAAGACCGCTGTCCAAATCCGAAGCCATGCCCAGAAGTTTTTCTCAAAGGTGACTATGGCCCTTCCTGTAGTTATGATACATTTGGCCTGTATGCCACTCTGTAGACAGCGGTTTATGTTATATGTTTGTATTATACATGATGTACTTGTAGAAGCAGAATTGGTGGCAGCTAATTTGAACCATTTGAATGTCGACCGTGTTTTCTCATGCGGGGTTGCTTATCGTGCAGGTGGTGCGTGAACCTGGTGCTAAAATTGAGATCGAGATCCCTCCCCCCAGGCCAAAGAGGAAACCAGTACATCCATATCCTCGCAAGCGTGCGAACTCCTGCAATGGAGCAAACCTAGCAAATGGGCAATCCAAGCTTGCTCCTATGTCATCTTCTTCTGGTTCTGACCAAGAGAATGGTTCTCCTGTGTCGGTGCTATCTGCGATGCAGTCGGATGCTTTTGGATCATCGATGTCAAACCCGTCATCTCGCAGTACCTCCCCAGAGTCGTCAGATGAGGAGAACAGTGTTCTTCCAATGGTGAACGGAGGGGAAGGTCAACAAACAGGGATAGATCAATCCCACAAGGTAAACAACCATCATTCAGCCCAGTTAGGTGCACTGCTGAACAGCCTTATTGAATGACCACTTGAACTTATCGGAGTGCTCTTGTTTCTTTTGCAGGAAGCTGATCAGGAAAACAAAGATACGGGTACCTCTGAAGAGGATTCTTCTGATGAGGTACAGGTAACAAGCGTGAAGCTGTTCGGGAAGACGGTCGTCATCCCAGACCCGAGGAAAAGATGCTCCCCGGATACAGGCTCAGGGCATGAAAATGGAGAGCAAACCTCACAATCCTCTAACAAAGGAACATCACAAGCCCCACTGGCTGTAGAGATTCCAACACATACAAAGGGAGAGCAAATCTCACAATCCTCTAACAAGGCAACATCACCAGCCCCATTGGCTGTAGAGGTTCCGACGTATACAAATGGAGAGCAAATCTCAGAGTTCTCTAACAAGGCAACATCACAAGCCCCATTGGCTGTAGAGATTCAAGCATACGCTGCGCCGACAAGTGGGTGGGTTCTTCCATACAATTCATTCCCGCTCCATTTCGGGGAATCAGCGGAAGCCAGAATTGCCCGTTTGCACATGTGGTGGCCATACTATGGGTTTCCTATGGTCCATCCAAGTGGACCGAGTGCAGTGGCACACAACGGAAAAGCTACTGATGAGAGCGAAGCTGCGAAGAGCCCTCCAGTTGAATCAAGCTCGGACTTCAATGACAATACTCAGGCAACAGCCAGCAAGCAGTGGAAAGTGCTTGAGTCGCTTGGAACAGCGCAGGCCCCTCCGTCGGTTTCTAATTTTCAGCTTAAACCAAGCACGAACTCGGCCTTCGTGAGAGTGAAGCCGATCATCAGCAGCGGAGATGAGCCGGTGAGGGGGTTCGTGCCGTACAAAAGATGTAGAGTCGAATGACGAAAGCGGGGATCTTCTTCCCCGTTTCTAATTTAACTATGAACCCTAGGAGGAGCCTGTTCCACATATTCCTTTGCTCCGGTGTTATTCTTAGGTTTTACTTGCACATAGAGGTTGGCGGCGGTCTGGCCCGGGAAATGCGCGTTGTTTCCTGCTTGCGCCTTGTAATGAGCAGGGCACAGGTGGTTGCTGTAAGTGCTTGTAGGATAAAAGCAGGAGGTTTTGTAGGGATGCCAATTCTCTCTCTCTCATGTTGTTGATGTAAAAGCAAAGAATTTTTGTGTCACTCTTGTTGATTCCTAATGGAAATCGATTTCTCTGAATGAATGAATGAGGCTGGCATGTTTGGTTGTTGCTGGGTGTTGTGTTGGTAAGAGTCTGAAGATGCTGGTGCCTTTTGTTCTGAGCATGCAGGCAGAGCTTGGCCGTGTTGTTTCAGAGTGGGACATGGCAGGAAACATTGTTCCTCATTGGTAGCAATTGCATGCCTTCGAATATTTCAAGCCATGGCTGCTAAATTCAATTCTATTAAGTGGGAAATTATGAATCTCTTTCTGAACGTTGCAGTTGCTGAACATTCCAATGTTTGCTGATGTCTGACCATTCAATTCTGTCATGCAAGAAGCAGAGGCTACTTAGGTGCTGGGAATTGTAGGGGACATAAAGGCTTGTCTATTTTACTTGTGTATATATCCAGAGGATGCAAATAGCTCATGTGAAGAACCGAAATTGAAATGGATAGCTGAAGGGTTCATTGCGACAAAACGGGTAAATTTGTATCAAGAAGCAGAGTGGTGTTTTAATGAACTTGTCAATAGAAGCTTGATCCAGCTTGTTGATGTTAATGTTCACTATGATGATTTTAACAACATTGTCAGGTTCATGATATGGCGCTTGACCTTATAATATCTCCATTAGATGAATAGAATTTTGCCACAGTTTTAGACCGTGTCTGCAAATCCTTTCCCAAACAAGGTCCATCGACCCCTGCAATCTTGTGGTTTGAACATAAATGGGCAATCCATGTGCATGAGGTGTTCAACTATAGTATCTGGTGTGGTGAAGAAACGGGTATAAAATTTGCAGCAGGTGTGATGCCACCACTCTGATGGCTCAACCTTTCCTGGAGTGCAACTCAAGTTTGGTTGAGATATAGTGATGGTTCTGACATAGGCATCAAGCCTTGTCCGGGTCCAAACTTTTTGTGATGATGCAAACTCGGGAGGAGGTCTTCAAGGCGAGATGTTTAAGAGTTGCGAGGAGATGGCAAAGGAGGGGGAAAGGCGTAGGGAAGCGGGTGAGTATGTGCCTGCCCTGAAATCTATTTTCTTGTTCCATTCTTGGACTTGTTTCCCTTGTGCAAGTTTTTTTTTTGTATCCAAATCATTTGAGCCATTTCATTGAATCCTCTTAAGATATTTGGAAAACGCAAGATTCCTATGCTTCAACAAACCAATTGAACTGAACCGGCTGTAGTTGCCTCGAGGTGTCAGGTTCAAATCTCTGAATTTCAGCTGCACCTTTGTCGACAGTTTCGGTTTGTTCATAGCACGCTAGCCTAACTGTTTGACATTGGTATATACGTACATAATTGTGGCAAACTGGCAACCATAGTTAGTGGCCAGCTCACACCCCAAATTTTACTGCTGAAATTGTGGTGACCACTGCTCAGGTTATGGTAAACGAACCAACTTTTCTTCAGTTCTGCAATTGTTTCACTGTCCTCCAATTGAACCTCTGCATTGCTCGGCTTGTCAAAAGATTCACCATCACACAAATGTTCCTTTGGGGGAACAAAGAGGATATACTACTAATTAAATCAGGAAGCGAAATGCTACTGAAAGTCTGAAACTAGGATAAACAATGTTCAGTTTAAAGTGTGCATTTTCAGATCAATCCATGTGTTTATCAACGCTCAAAATCTCGCTCTTTTTTTACATTAGCTTAAGCAATGTTCAGCTCAATTTTAAATTCAGATTAATTCTGGAACTGATTATCAGTCAAAAAGGAAAATTCAGCTGGTATACATATATATGTTTCCAGATGTGTTTATCAACTCAATCCATGTGTTTATCAACTGATTATAAATTTGTTTCCAGATGTAGCCATACGAGTCGGAGAGGACGCTCCGCCTGATCCTGGTTCTGCTGGAACCGTGTAGCATCCATATACATACCAATACCAAGCAGTTCAGCTGGTATACATATATATGAAAAAACCGAAGCTGTGAACAAAGGTGCTCCTGAAATTCAGAGATTTGAACCTGACAATTTCGACACAACTACAGCCGGTTCAGTTCAGTTGGTCACTGAAGCATAAACACTTTGCCTTTCCAAATACAGTAGTAGCTTATAAGATTCCGTAGCCAGAGTTGCGGTCAACGAATAGGCGCACCGGTTTCTGTAGTGGGGCTATGGTAGATGGCAGTCTACCATGATAAAGAGCCCTGCAAACCGAGTAGCTTTCCAATATGTTATCTTCAGGAACAAAGAAAACCCTCACATGGGGAGCAGAACCAAACACATCACATGGTCAACACAGCAGGAACCAAACGCACACACACAGCAGGACCCAATTGCCAAAACTACACATGAGAGAAGACATAGGGAAACCGCACATTACAAGATCAGGTTGCCAAGTTTCCACAGATGGAGCATGGAAGCCAGCAGATCATACAATTACCAGCATATCTACAATCAAGTGCAAGAAGAACAGCAGCAGGGTAACATTAGCACCCCAGCAGAAGGTGTGCAAGTCACTTCTTCACTCCAAGCACAAGCATTGGCCTCTTCAGGTGGCTGACCAAGTAGCCACAACAATCACAACAGGAGATATCATATTCACAGTAGAGAATCAGATTGTAGCACACGCCGCTTCATCTAGAGATCTTCACAACAACCCTGGGCATGGGCAAATCAGGAATCATCTACAGTAGCGGCTTATACATATGCCCAGGAAATACAATGACAGCCCTGACAAGCAACGCTCAAGTTCAGGATATACATATTCCCAGGAAATACAATGACAGGGCACATAACCGCGCAGCTCAAGCTTATCATTCAGAAATTACTGATGGGAATGTAATGTCACAGATATGGTTTGTGATTGAGATCAATGGTCGGCGCCAAAGGCACCACCACTTTGTCACACACAGAAAAAATACCTCACATGAATCAAACATGTGCAAAGGCTGGGATCCTACAAGTGGCAGTATGTGCGTTGTTTCTTCGAACACATTCAATGAGCGAGCATGTAACTTGCTTCTTCTGATGGCATGGATTGGCCCTTCCTGTTCAAGCCCAACTAGATTGCAGGGAGAGCCGACGGATCTTGCTTGGCAAGGAATTGCAAAGACCCTTTAAACAGCGGCAAAATTCTCCTAATCTGACAAGGATATCAGAAGGTCATGCACCATCTCATGAACCTGACAATATCGTTCAAAGTTGTCATCGTCAACATCGACTAGCTGGATCATGCTTCTGTTGACAAGTTCATTGAAATAACTCTCTGCTTCTTGATACAAATTTCCCTGTTTTTTGGCAATGAATCCTTCAAGTATCCATTTCCATTTCACTTCTTCACACGAGATATATCCGCCCTCTGGATATATACATAGATATAACAAACTGGTCTTCAAGTGGTGCGGAAGATCCCAATAACCAAGTAACGATATATGTCCCATACCATTTCCATGGTTATCACTCTTATATGAAAGACTAGTACCAATGGAACCTTGGAGTCTCTCCCATTCATCTGGGGTTTGATGTTTATTGGATAGCAATTTGGCAATGGTAATTATAGCCAATGGCAGACCACCACATTTCCTTAAGATCCTAGCTGAAATCTTCTCTAGTTGAGGAGGGCAGGAGTTATCAGAGTGGAAAATTCTCCTAAAGAACAATCTTCGGGAATCAATGTAGTTCAGAGGTAGCATTTGATAGAGCTGACCGCCGGAGTTAGAACAAGTTGACTTCGCTACATTGGATATGCGAGTAGTAACAATTATTCTGCTACCATTGTGACTGTCAGGAAAAACTCCTTTGACAAATTTCCAGTCTTGTTCTTTCCATACATCATCAATCACAAGGAAGTACCTGTGCAGTGTTATACTATTAAGTAAGGTCATTAACACAAATATGATGTTCAGCACTACACTTACATTTATCTTTGCAAGCAAATATATCATAAATAAAATCATCAAATGCTAATCCCATGTACGGATGAAGAAAATTTACCTCTTTCCTGTCAAAATGTGTCGGATCTGACGGATTAGTTGATCTTTATCCCACCTCTCCGACTGACAATCATGAAATGCAGCCTGGTCGATTTGAGAAAGGAGTTCTTTCAAGAGCTTGTCACGGTCAAGGGTGCGTGACACGGACACAGAAGCTCGGCACTGGAAGTGCCGTCCAATCTTGCGATAGGCCTCCATGGCAAGGGTGGTCTTTCCCAACCCAGCACCTCCAACAATGGCCACCACCTTCAGGTCCACGCTCTCCTCCGTCAACAAAGAGATGACCTCGTTCCTGGGGCCGTCAATGGCCACCAAGTCCTTGGCCACTCCGTGTAACGCAGCCAGCCGAGGATCTATCATCATCTGGACATAGTTGTCCAGATTCAGCCTACGCCGCCGGTCACCTTCCTCAACGACGCGGGCCTTGAGCTTCTTGATCTGGGCCCCGACGCCATGGCGGGCAAACATTGTCTTGAGCCGGCGCGCGGTGCTCCTCGGGAACGTGGGCGCCGCCTCCATCTCCATGTCATTTTCGTCGAGGCGGAGAATGAAGCGGTCGATGCACTCCTCCATGTCGTGGCCGAGATCCCGCATGCTACCCATGCAGCCCATGGCCAGCTTGTCGAGCCCCTCCATGCCCGCCAGCATGCTCACCAGGATCTGCATCGTGCGGAGCTCGCGCTCGAGGAACGCGACGTCCTTGCGAACGCTCTTGAGCATCGTGTACCCGTCGCCGAGCAAGGTGGCGAGCTTGACGATGACGGAGCCCAACGCCCCCGTCCCCACCATCTCCCTAGCTAGGAGAGAAGAAGCTAGCCGCTACACAGGTGCCATGGGTTGTGGCTGGTGTTGGATACTAGCTTGGATGGAGTAATGGTGTTGAGCTTGACTGCTTGAGAAGAACGAGGTCAAGGAGACGGTTTGGCCATGGTGGAGGAGCGTGTGTGTGTGTGTGTGTGTGTGGTACCTCTGTTGTAGCTATGGAGCTTCTGGGAAGCCCATCGCATGAGGCTGCCAGGTAGGTCCTAAGGGATCATTCGGACTCATGAATCCAAGCAAACCAAAGGTAAACAATCACGACGAGCATCCCTTCCCATGTGAGCCCTGGTACACTTTTGATCTATCTTAGCAACCAAGTGTTGAGCTGAACCAACCAGCCATGCAGCATGGCCCTGCCCTTTGTTTTACTCCTTGGAATACGGCTCTGTCGTCCCATCAAAGGCAAAACCACTAGAGGCTGCGTTATAACCCAGGCACTAAAATATTTCGGAGAGCACGACATCATATGTGTTGTCTGACAGACCTCGCTGGAGCATGGAGTTCTTTTTAGGTCCACTAGCTAGGTTCACGTTCACTGGATGTTCTGTCAGGGGGTAGTGATTAAATACTTGTGCTAAGATCGATCAAGGCACAAAATGGGCCGTTGGATCTTGGATGGATGCTCTATATTCGTGTGCGAGAACCGGCGCAAAGCTCGATTCATTTCATGAAAACCCCTTGACTAACCCCGATATACAAAACAGGTCTCCCCACCGGCTCCACGCAGCCCATCTGGAGCATTCATCCAAGATCCAACAGCCAACGTTCATTTTTTTCTTTCTATTTTCGAACCCTAAGTGCTGCTTCTGCAGTAGTCTAGGGGTAGTTAAGAAAAGTACCAGTTCTGTTCTTCTTCTCACTGCCATGTTCTCTCCATCCCTAACCTCACATGCCTCCCAAGTCCACTCCCGTCGGCCCATCTCATATCCCCCCTGTGTAGTTTAGGAGAAGGTTGATGTTTGTTTGTGTTATTATTGGTTGTCTCGAGCTTTTCCCTCGATTGCTGTAGAGGATTCAAAGAGATAAGTGGATTGCTTCTTAGAACGAAACCGGAGCGGATACGGTAGGATAACTCTCATACCATATCATATTTGACTTTATACGGATATGGAAGCGGGACAACTATAGTAGGGCTGCGGATTTGAATACAGGATTATACTAGATTATGTTGGATTCACACATGGTATGGCATGGTATGTCAAATATTGGGAGTTTGGGCTATGTCTAAAGGAATGATAATACGGGCACTGTGAATTCTGGTGAGCAAAGCGGCCTACTCAGGTAGCAGACAAATAGACCCAAAAGTAATTAGAGAAAAGTCCATATTTCGGCCCGAATTGACCACACAGTTTAATTTACAACCCTGACCACAGTTTAATCCAAGCACACCATATGTCCCTGAAGCCAAGCAAACAAAGAGTCATGTCCATTGCAGATCACTTGACCTAGTCAAAATCTTTCTTAACATCCATCTTCAACATAATCATAGCTTCAAACCACACAGGCGGCATAAAGAAAATTGTCGGTGATGCACCTGCCTTTGATGAAGCACGCTTGCGAGAAAGGGACCAAGAGCTCAATAAAGCATTGTTGCGAGACTCGAGGATCCAGGACACAATCTTCATCATGCAGTTCCTGAGAGAGATGCGGAAGAACCCACCCACCATGAGCATCGAATTAGTCTTCAAGAGAAGGGTAATGTAGTCCTCCTTAACAAGCACGAGGTAGGCACGACCGTATTAGGATTCATCACGAAAAAACATCAGATTGTCGTTCACCAAGTCCAGAAATATTTTGGAAAATTTGGTGTGATACCACCAGACCCTGTTCCACTATTGGAATAGATCCTAAAGAGGCGACTTTGCGCTCTTCAGCGGGGAACGAGTACGAACAAACCAGGTACGCGGCTAAGGATGAACTCAGGTGGAAAACCCAAGAGAACATGGCATGAGCGCCCAAGATCCCGTCATAGTAACCATTGAGGATGTGTTCTTTCCCCAGGTGGTTCACGAAAGGGGGCCGATAATGAGAAGCTTGAATTTTATTTCTCCTCGGGCGAGCGGTGGCGCCAACTTGAAAAAAAGAGGTATTGTGATCTCCTAGCTTACAAACCCAACATGTAACGCTGGTTCGAGTAAAACTCCAATGTTTTGAGCTCACGCTCAAGGCGGGCTTTGG